ATTGTGGTGTTATTGTTGGAGATTTTCTGAGTCTGGATATTGATCAATCAAGGGAATAAATCTACATATGTTATGCCAAATAAGTATATCGTGTTGAGTTCCAAAGAAGTACCAGTCAATGGGTTGCACGTATTAAGACTTTGTGGTTCGATCTTAAATGATTAACTTTATTAAGAGGAGTAACTCAAGTCCTTATAAGTTAATATATGTTTTTATTTTTATTCGATGTGAGATTTTATCTCTTAACAAGTTCCTGCAAAATGATGACTCATTTGAGTAGACCAATTAAGTCTTAATTGGATCAAATTACTCGTTGGAATTTAATGAACTCTGATACTATATTAAGACTTGGAATTCTATCTTAAAATGTCAATATTGTTAAAAAAATATAACTCAAATCTTTATAAATTAATCTACATTTTTCATTTTTATTCGATATAAGATTTTTTCATTTAATAACACGACTTGCCTATCTTACAAAAAGCTAAAGATGTTTGAAATCAATGGTATTTATCTTTCACTAGAGAACTTCAAATGCAAATTGGTATGCTTTCCTCCATGGTTAAAGTTTTAGGACACAATGTAAATTTCGCAAGAGATGCATGTTTAAACAACAAATCTCGTAATGTTCGTGCATAAATTATTGTATGAAGTATCATTATATTACTTGTTACTGAATTATTTTTTACGATAATAGTTGCTTGAATTTCTCAATTTTGCACTAATGACCATTGGATAAAATAACATTAAAGTATCAACATGACACCGAACAACATTATTTATTACGTCAAGTCGAGAAAATTAGGAGTTGGAATTGGGAATTAAATACATTTAGATGACAAAATATATTGCGATTTTAATTTTGGACATTTTTTTTTACTTATAACAAATTTTGCTGATTGGACGTAATAAATAACATCATTTGATGACAAGATATCACATATTATTTAATTCTAAGTATTTCAAAATGAGATATAGTTGCTTTGTAATAGGAATAGTATGTTGAGTTTAAAGG